TCCTGCAGTTTGCACTGGCCCATTTCTCAATGAACAGTTGGTAGGATTTGCTCCTGTCTCTAACATGGTAACCATAGGTACACAGCCACAAAGACTCTTACAAGGTGAAGTAGTGATAGTCAAGCATGAATCGTTACAGGATTATGATTTCCTCTTGACTGCACCACAGCATCTTTGTGTCCATTTACATTGGGTTAAGAATTGCAATATATTGGTGTAATATTGCAAACTTGCCCTAAAACTACGTTAGACAATACCTACAAGGCCGAGTTCAGTTACCACAATACGTAACTAGTGATTACGCTAATGGCTTAATACAGTCCTTTGCCTACTCACAGCAGCAATTCTAGACTATATTGTACCATTACTCTAGAATTACACTTTCACAGTAATCGTTTAATGGAAACAGCCTGTTCAGTCTCCCAGTCACACACATCAAGGTCTCTTTGTTATTATGATCTTTATTTGTCAGAGCATTTGCTTTGTTATCACTAACAAAGCCCAAACTTTTCATCATGGTGTGTTACCTTCAGAAGATCTCTTTGTGCTTATCAGCTCCATGCTGCTAGTTTATATAGTTTATTCAAACTCCCAGGAAATGGCAATGCTCCACTTCAAATGTACTTCCCTGAGGATTATCAGTATTTTTCCCATGCTGAAAGTATTCCACATGCATTTTTTTCCTCCTGGCCACTAATGCTGTGGAGGATCTATCTTCTTCTACAGTGCACCTGGCTGCAACCAGGAATTATGCAGTGCCGACGAGTCAAAAATCCCTCTCTAGAGTGTAGCCCAGTGGAGTCTGTGGTGCCATTAAGATGCTCTCATCAGCACAAGAAAACCACCTGCACCCTCCCATTCTCCCAGGGCATTTATGTCTCTGTTTTGGACATACTTTGCTTAAATTCAATCAGCTATTGTAATTAACATGTTTTGCAATTACTTTCTAGATATGGTGGCACAAAGGAGAGTTTAGTGCTCTCCACACTTTGTTATTGTTCCAAAATAAAATTAGATTTTTAGATCACCACCACCACCCAAGATAGCATTCAACACTTACTTTATTGGGAAAAATTTGTTAAACTCCGACTCCTTCAGATGCCCCTTTCCATAAGCAACATTTCTTTTCAGAAACTTGGTATCTCGCTGTGAGATTTGATTTGATGCTTTAGTTAACAGACTATTACCACGGAAACAAATCTCCGAGAACTCTGGACAGAAGTAATTTCCATCTGCTTTCTCATACGTTGTATACTGACAAACATAGCCCTGGATCATTTGTAAGTGCAAGGGATCTGACCCGTGACCAATTCTTTAGCAGGAGTCAACCCAGGTCTGTTAAATCAGGCTGCAGCTCCCCCAGTCACCAGTTCAGCTCTTCCCTCCCACAATTACACCATCCCAAGCTCCAAGCAATTAAACCACCCTGCTGGGAATTTATGCAGTTACCACAGTTCTTGGCTACTACACAGAAGACTCGGGAGCGTACAAAGGATCTCCCCCAAACCCTCCCTTCACAGCATGAAGGGCACCACAAAGGCATGCTCTTCCCCTCCAACCCCAGCTAAAAAAAGAAAATCCACAGCAGATGTTGGGAAACTTTAACCCCACTAGAACGCGAGCCTCCGCTCCTCTGAAGTCAATGTCACCATCTTCCCCGAAATCCCCTCCCCGGGCCAAGTAAACCCCAGCACCAGGGCACAGCGGGAAGAAACCATTCTTTGAGGGTTGGGCCTCATGATCCTTATGGGTCCCTTCCAACTCGAGATATTCTAGGATTCCCACACAGCCAGCAGCCACAAGAAGAGCCTACGGGGCAGACAAGGAGTGGCACGGAGCTGGCCTGCCACCCCCAGCCAGCTCCTCCAGCAGCACGTGCCAAGGGACATCAGGCAGGAGCCCCATGAGGGCAAAGCTTATTGAAAGGGCTCTAAAGCTCTGGAAGAGTCCTACACACCAACAGCTATTTATAGAGCCCAAGCAAGATGAAGCATTGTGTTTCGGAAGACAAAAGACTCGTGTTTGTGACTTCAGTTGGCCAATTAAAACCTAGTTTTCAATAGTCACTTCAAATTGAGCGTCTCTGTGATGCACAGAACACTGAAAGCAGGAAGATACTTTTCACTTAACCTCAAACACTATTTTTACTCCAAAATCCTAATTCTCCCTGGCTAGAACTTTCTCTTCCTCCTGGCATGGGTGGGAGCAATGGAAAGATGAATAAAAGAAAAAAAAAAAATGGGGAAGAGCAGCTAGAGCCTGTCACATGAGCTACAGCGAACAAAGAAGGAGACAAAGAATATGCAACAGATTCCCTGTATCCTGCAAAGCAGATGAAAGAACTTTTCACCCTGCAAAGGTCTGAGAGTAAGCACAAAACTCACCCACAAGAGGCACCACTATTAATCACACTCTCAAGACTTTACCCCAGGACTACACAAACCCCCAAATTCAGCCTCATCAGCCCTTGTCACAGCACCAGAAAGCAGGAAAACCTTACCTCATTTTTGCTGTTCATCGCTCTTCTCCCTCGCTCTCCATCCCATGCAGGCAGCTTTCAGTGCTTTTGCTCCTGGCTGGAGCGTGCCAGGCAGCATCTCCAGAGGGCTACTGAGCCCGAGAGCGTGTGAGCAACCAGAAGCACCAGAACCAACAGCAACCCCCAGGCTGTGGAGGAGAAATGACCCCTTGTTGTGCTCCCAGCTCCACCCAAAAGCTAAGTGCCGTCAGGTGCTGAGCACCTGCAAAGCCCGGCCAGCTGGGAGACGGGGAGGCACCTTGTTAGCTTCATCAAGTCCTCCTGCTGCCCGGGGCTGAAGCCAAACTCCAGCGCTTGATAAGAGTCATCTTGAAGGGGACCTTTGCAGAGGAGACTGTCTCATGCCCTGATGTTAAAGCCATGATTGTAATGCATCCCTTGATGCGGCTTTAACGTCAAAGGATGAGTTAAACCATAAAATCCGTAAGTTTGACATCTGCTTATGTTACTAAAGGAGAAGAAAAATAAAAGTGAAGGAGGCACTGTTTGTGGGATCTTGGAGCCGACAGGAGAATCTTGGCCCGTTACAGTTAACAGCTTACTGTTCTGTGACAAGAGGACCATGCTCCAGTGTGAGGAGAAGGAGCAAGGTCCAAGCTGAGCACTCTGATGCCTTTTCCCACATCAGGCTCGCAGGGGAATGCTAGAACAGGCGAGTCAGCACCTGCTGTCATCCACATGAAGGTATTTTTTACATACAGAAAGACTGTAAAATACTTTCTCCCTGGTGCAGAAACAATTCAAAACACCAGGTAAAAACACCTTTTCACCCACCTATGCTATTTCAACACTATGTTAAAAGAAAACTTAATGTTTCATCCTGTAATAGACCCATCAAATTTCCAGCAAAGACTCAGACTAGATGACCTTTAAGGGTCCCTTCCAACCCAACGTATTCTAGGATTCTATGATTTTCATTTCTTCTTCCTTCCAAAGACACATTTGACCTTCTGAGCTCTCTGGGATCTCCCAAGGACTACAACAGCCAAGTACAGAGAGGTTCAGTTTCACAGAGTACGTAACCTGCAAAGCTAAGCAGAAGGTGTATTGTTCCGACAGCTCACATAAAGGCCAGTTCCGGTGTGGGGGACGTACTAATAATTTGTACACATACATAATCATATGCCCCAAGTCTGCTATAATTGTTTACTAGCTTTGCAGCTGTTGTCTTCCTCGTGAATTTATCAGCTTGCACAGGCCTTGGCTAGCTCTTCGTAATTCACCTCAGCCAGGTGGTGCTGGTGGTGGTTATGAAGAAGTTAAGGGAACACATAAAAGCTACTGAAGTCACTTGTCAGAAATCGAGAAAGAAAAAAAAAAAAGGCTGTTCAAGACAGAATTCATGATGGAACTCTATCGCTGTTTTAAGAAAGTGCAAGCGGCCATAAAGGCTCAGTCCAGGCCTGAACTCGTTTTCACTGAGACCTCCGTTGTGTATGTGGATGTAGAGAGTCTACGTTACCCGGGCCAAATACAGTGGAAGGAGCATCACTGAAGATGGGACCTGGGCCTTCTAGGAGCTAGACCAGCCGAAGGAGATTAAAATTCCAGCCCAAAGCCATCACGACCCAGTGGAAGCAAGTCCTTGCCTTTGGTGGCCGTGTCTGTTCAAGTTTAGTCATGAGCTCTGTCCTAAGAAAAAGCAAAGGACGCAGCGCTCGCTGTCCCTGCACTGCAGCTCCTACCAAGGCTGGCAGGGCACGCGCTTCGGGTTGGCAAGAGGTAAAAGAATTCTCTGGTTATTTTGGGAACAGAAGGATGCGAAATTATCTACCGTAAGCCTTTCCTTCACTTCACTATTTGCACCGAGTTAGCTATTTCTAATTTTTGAATGCTCACTGGACACAGTGCTGATGAAGACATGTTTTCTCATAATAGTAGGCAAAGCCTTCCTTAAAACTTTCTTCATCAATTACCTGTCTAGAAAATGAAAAGTCAGTGTTACAAACCGCCAGATCCTTAATATGATTGACTACGGCTGCTTTTAGTCAGCAAAAGATCTCCACGTAACAAATGGCTTGTCCGTTTGTTCTCTGACAAGAAAGACTGGCGAGGCTTGAATATCATTTATGCTCAATCAGAAACGACTGACGATGGAAAACTCTGACTTTCAGTGATCTTGATGTGCCCCACTGGGGCACGGAGAAACATATGGCCACTTGAGATGTCTCCTGAATAATGGATCTGAAAGGCTCTCCTATTCGTTGCTGTGGCTGCCTCTTCATCTTGCCAGGCCTGGAGCTGTAAGATATGCATTAACTGAAATGACAAATTGCATAAACGAGTGTTTCTTGGTTGACGCTTCCCTGATGAACGCTTCTGGAACTGTTAACTATGGAAAACGAAAGATGGATGGAGGAAGATCACTTTTACAAAACGATTTTTATAGGAAAAAAAACAAAGGAAAGCATGATGTATGCAAACTCGCCGATATCCCATATTTTACGGCTGAGGAATAGCAGCAATTTTTCCCTGGTAATGGGTCTTTACGATGTCAGATATAGAAAGATTTGCACTTTATTACCCACAAGAGAGTCCAAATTAAAGAAGTGACTTGAAGTGGTAGAAATTGGCCTTGGGATACAGTCAATACGGAACATCTCTCACCGTACAGGTGGTGTTTACGAGATTTAAGGTGTAGCTCAAAGAAACATTTTATAATGTAAGAGCATTGTCGATTATGGCATAAAAAGCTGTAAGATTTGATTTCTCCATTTTTGGTGTGTACGTGCCAGTCAGAATAAGATCAACTGTAGAAAAGAACAGATTATTATTTTGTCAAGAAAAGCTGGGCCAGTGATCCTTGAGGTCCCTTCCAACCTGATGTTCTGTGATTCTAGGATTGTCAAACTGCAGCGCGGTAAACATTGATATATTGTAGCTATGTTTTTCCTTTCCATTTTGCAGACTAATTATAGCTGGAACAAAGGAAGCTCAGAAAATTACAACATTGAAGCTTTCTTGCCTTTGGGGAGGAAAAAAAACCCCAGCCTTAAAGAAGTTCCGATATTCATTTCTAAATTCTAACAAATACTTGCGTTATCCCACATTTTGCCAGATTTGGCCTTTGACTTTGGACCTTGCCCAGTTTCCCGTAGAACTAGAGGAAATCCAGCTCAAAACTTTGGTCGTGCTATTTTCAAAACGGCATAATAGGAACCGCCAGCTGAACTAGCGTTTTCCTCCACATCATTTAGTAACACGACTGAAATAAGTTTCCTGAAGAAGAGAAGCAGCTCTCGTTCTTGTTTATTTAAAACTACACGTGATTTCCCAGCGGCACACCCAACATTTAAAATAAGGCGCAGTAATCAGTTGTTTCATGATTTCCACGTTACCTCTTGGATATCCGTTGAAGAATTATGGAGCATCTAATTTACATTTAGTCACCTAAACAGAGGGAGTCTGTAGAGAGAGGAGTCCCAGCACCTACAACGCCAGCGGCTGAAAACGTGAGCTTTTACCCTAAAGCACAACGTGCTTGGTCTTGCAAATAATTAGCACATGAATTGTCCTACTAAAGCAAGACTCATTCATAGGCTTTTTTTCACTGGTGGAGTTTTCTTTTATTCATATATATATTTTTAGGCAACATATTATGCAAATTGGAAGGAGGAAAATAAACCAGTAATAGGAGGTGAGCGGTGTACACGTACGGCCTTCGACACAGCAACTCGACGCAGAGAAACCTCAGCAAAGTCAGGGGCTAAGCCAAGCCATAACTCAAAGAGAAATTTCTCAAGTTTGGTGGTTTTTTTTTTCCCCTTAGTGGCAAAAGTACTCCCGAGGGAACATCTTTCCTCTCTAGTGCAATACCCTGGAAATGTGACTAAACCTAAAAATAATTTCTAAGAAAAGGTTCCAGCATTTAACACAATGGATGTACTGCCTTTCGAACCCTTCCTTCGTTCATCGTCAAATGATGGTGTAAAGAATGGCGTAAGAAAACAAACCAACAAACAAAAAAAAAAGATAAAAATTAACTTAAATTACACAACCAATAAAAAAAGTTTAAAGCAATGATAGAAAAATAATATAAAGGCTAGATACATTAAATGCCAGTTCAACAGTATTAAGCTTTGGTAGAACAGCTAAAGAGCATAGCACCCATAAAATCCAACGTCAATACATGCTTCAGTACGCGTGAGCTGTGATGAAAATGTAAATTTTGGCCAGAAAAGTAGTGTACGTTCCCTGACGCCACAGTTTCATTTCAACATCTAACAAAAAGTCTTTGGGCTCTTTCACTTGTCGCTGAAGATAGACAATGCCCGTGTATGAGTTCAGCCTTCGAGTGCTGAAGTAGTTTTCTTCATTTCCCTTGTTTATATTAAGGATTATGTTGTCTCCAGCATAGGCAGGCGATGGTCCAATACGGAAAATATGAGCTGGGACCACGATATTGGTTTGGAAGTTCAGCTGGTAATAGGTAATGCGCACCGGGGTATTTTGGCAGTCCAGATAATTAAAACAACTGATTCGTTCACACCTCCTAAGAGATAAGAAAAATAGCAGGTCAAAACATAACGGATTTCAGAGTGTTGCAAATGTATTAGACAAACAGGAGTCCCTAACTTCAGCTGTGTAAAAGGCTTTTACAGCGCCCATAAAGCATTTGTAAATGGTAAAATTGTTTGAGTAGAACAATGTAAGACAAAAATCACGGCTGTGTTGGGAAGCCCCATGACTACAAGCAGCGCAGAGCTTGGAAGGGGCGTCTGTGATTCATCACGGACAGCACAAGCCTGGGACAGTGCTCCAAGAAAGTAGGAACTAAAAAAGGCTTTAAAAAGGAGCTAAAATGTGGGAATGGGAAACGAGCTCCTCGAAGCTGCTCAGCTTCCCAAAGCACTGGCAGCCACCGAAGCAGGAACGAGGGAGATTTTGGGGCTCCTGAAGCTTTGCTGCTGGTGAGGAGCTGATGCAGGGAGGGGGTGCCTTTCCCAGAACCCTGCAGCCTGGCAAGCTCGCTGCCCTGCTCCCCTTCAACGTTTCAACACCCTCTGAGGAACAGCAATGGGAACTTTAAACAGGGAGCCGCAGAAGCACTGTGAAAAAGGTGCACTGAGCGGCCTGGCAGCTACTGCCATGATGTAAAGCAGCACAGAAGGTCTTTTCTTTTTTTTTTAATAAAAAAAATCACTTACAAACAGAGGCCCTTCAAAGCTGCAGCAAGTAGAGCTGCAAGCTCTGGTGATTCTGTCGGAGGGCAGATGGGGGCTTGGCAGAAGGAAGAGGTAAACCTGGACAGAAACTCTCTGTGGGGAAAATCTATATGCTCCAGCTTCTGAAGCAGCTTCTTAGAGCTCTGAGCACTTAAACCTGCCCAGAAACTAAAGCATGAGGTAACACCCGTGGCCACTGGCAATACTTACATGTCAGATACTTTCCGGTAGTTGGATGGGCACTCGAAGGACAGGCAGCGGAAGCTGCCCTGGATGTTATAGCACGTCTCGGAGGCTGAACAGTTGTGGGTTCCTATGGCACATTCATCGATGTCTAACGAGGAGAAATACAAGGGAAAAAACATGCTAAGTTCAAAAATAAGAACTAATCGCCATTTATGGGCTGCAATATGCTTAATGAAACTGTGCGCGTGAGGAGCAAGAGGGTCTGTGGGTTTGGCTTGGTAAGCTGAGGGCTCTTGCCGTTGCCGCTGCCATGGAGTGTCACCTCCTCAGTACCTGCGCCTGCTGCCGGAGGGAACACCCGGGCTGTGAAACACACATTCGGGTGAGGTGTGTCAGGTGCACCTCTACACACAGATACCTGCTGGCATCTGGAGTGGCAGAGTAAATTGCAGGGATCCCAACGCTGCTAAAATTCACCTGCTCGCTGCAGGAAAAACCTTCCTTCCCTGATGTTATGCACTGGCAGCGCCACTGGGCGGGGTGTGCGATAAATGAGGGAGCCCACTCTTCCCCTGTGATCCTCTTCACACTGTCGGACAGTCCTCCCACTGAGCGGTGGGAGCCACCCAGCACACGGCCAGGGGAGGCTGGCTTCTTTACCCAGCTCCTCTGAACCTGCCTGAACACGTCTGCTGCAACAAAGGGTTTCACTTTCGGTGAAGAATAAACATGAGAAGGAAAAGAGGGTCTCAAACCCCAAGCTCCTCCTGTCTAGCCGCATCCCGCCGCAATAAAAACTGAGCGTAAACGTGCTTGGTTCAAACCAACGTGAACATCTAGGCAGAATTGCCCGTGTTGTCCTCTTCTCCCTTGCTCCTGAGGTGTCAGAGATGCATATGTTTTCGGGAACCGAAAGAAAACAGAATAAAATAACTAGATAGTGGTTGCCTAAGGCAGGGGAACTCTAAGTTTCTCAGACCAGCCCTGCAGCCACTGTGTAGGCTCTCCACATTGATCGCAATGGCTCCTTCTTCATGGAGAAGGCTGTAAACGTCCAAATATCCCATCACTCAGTCTGCAGACACTACCCCAGAGCAAACTCACGTCGTGGATGGAGACCCTGTGTCTGCCTACACGTCAGCCACTCCCAGCCTACTGCGACAAAAGCTATCCCTCAGGAATAAGCAGGTCCCATTAGAATTATCACCAATCCATGTTAAAAGCCAGCAGGACCTTCCCATTGACTTTTTGAAAATGGAAAAAGTTGGGCTATGTCAGGAGAATATTTTTTTCTATGCATGAAGGCTGCTCTGGGTTAAACCAGGGGGCAAATACAAAGCAAAGTAAGCACTGCTGTACAGCTGTGTGATCCAGGAGATGCAAACTCGACTCAGGAAATATGAGCTTAGGAGCAGCACTTTAGGATAAGGCACCCATTTTTGAAAATTTAAATTAAATACAAATACCTCCCTGGAATGAGAAGCGATGTTGCGAAAGACAAAAAAAACCCCAAACATTCAAAGCTCAAAGATGCTTTATGGCCCCGAGTGCAAACGTGGTTACCTAAACAATACATATGCACAAGCCCAAGCCATGGACCTTAACAGGCTGAAAACCAGATGCAGTAAGAAGGATCCAGCTTGAGCAGAAAATACTGGCAAAGATCTCACAGTCACATTGTGTACTCCCAAAAGTCTAGACAACGCACGGAGGCTTTAAAATGAAATAAATGCTAACAGGCAAACCATGTGGACTGTGTAGGGCGCTGCAGCTCTGCCAATTGTCACAGAGGGGAGAGACTCTTGGAGGAAAATTGTAACCTCCCACTCCCTCCAGTCCCCTGGGATGAGAACTGATCTCACACCCTGAACCGACTGGTTTAAAAGTCTTGCAAAGAAAAGTACACAAGAGGAAGGAGGAGAGAATCAAAGCAAATTAAATCCCTTGCCGGTTCTCAGAAGTGCCCTTAGGTGAAAACAAAATTTCTTCCATATTGCAATCCCTGTCGGGAAAGCGCTCCCGTCACCCATTTGGCCGCGCTGCAAAATACCACTGGCGGTTTCTCCAAAAAGATCCATATGTTGAGATGCTATTACACAAGATGTAACGCGCCTCGTCTGAAAATAAAAAGGCAAAAGGAATGTACCACCAGCAGCTCTTAGGAACCGGTCAGATGATGAGCAAGCAGCAGCGGATCTTCAGCTGGTGGAAGCCAATATACCGTTGTGTTTAGTGCAGCTGGCTGCAGCAGGAACCCTCTCCGCACAGGGTGGGTGTGCAGAGAGGATATCACGCCACGCAACGCGACCGTGATCCGTCGGTCCTTGGGGCAAACCCTTCGCCTCCACTTCCAGGAGCACGCTGGGTGCCTCCAGCTCAGGAGAGATGAAGGATGCGGGGACTCACGCTATTAACTCCGCGAGACGTCCTCGGCTCACGTGCTGGCAGAGGTGGCAACGAACGTGCCAGTGCTCAAAGTTAGCAAAAAAAAAAAATATAAAAGAAAAAAAAAAGCCCAAGGAGACTTATAGCTGCGTTTTTTTAAAGGTGACATTTACGTAAGAATCTAAAAGCACATGGATATATCTGCATGCTGAAGTCATACTTAAGAACATATATTTAAAAAAAGCGCTTTAAAAAATCTTTTAAAAGTCTTCACATTATATTTTAAGTCTTTTCATTTTCCCTTTGGTCTGGTTCTCTGCTCCGAAGTCAGGATCAAGTATGCTCATGCCATTCATGATTTACACAGTGTAAATTCACTGCCATTACCACGGAGAAGAGAATTTCCGCATAGGAGGTACATAACCAAAAGCTATGTGAAGGGTTCCTGAAAAACTAAGGGCAGGAAATGCCTGGCAGTTAGTGTAACCGAAAAAACGTAGGGTACGTAGAGGTAATCAGATCTTCCCTCATCATTACTCAGTCAGTGCATCCTTTTGCAAAAGGGGGATTTTTTCCTTCAAATTCCGACAGCTGCGCACCAGATGAAACCCACCACACACCCAGAAAATATTTCTGTGATCCTGGAGAAGAGGTGTGTGTGCCGGGGGGGAGGTAGAATACACATCATTTACACTAACATTTACTAAAGGCAACATATTTAAACTTAGCTGGCAGACGTCTGGGTGTCCAAGTCCCCGTCACAGCTCCCACACTCACTCTCTTAGTTTTCTGGGGCAGGAAACCACAACTCATAATGAAACCACGGATTTCTACATCTGGCACCTCAGAAAAACCAGCTTGCTTTCCGCTGCACACACAGCTCAGGCGCGTGAAGTGCCGCGGTTTGAGTGACGAAGTGGGTTCCCTTAGGAATTCACTGGAACCATTAGCTCACCCAGAGAGAGCTGGAGACTTGACCCAATCACTGGAATGGCTCAGATCATTCCAAGGATTAAAGCGTCACCCTTTCACTTCCCAAACTCCTCATTACCTCGACAGGTTCTTCCATTTGCTGCCATGGTATATCCCTGCTCCGGACAAGCACACTGATAACTACCAGGAACGTTCACACAGCGGAAAGTACAAAGAACGCCTGCGCTCTGCGTGCACTCGTCGATATCTGCGGAACAAAAAAACCCCACAATTAGAAACATATGAAAAAAAGAAAAGTGGAAATCTGAAAATAAAGAGTCTGTAGAACACAAGGAAATTCTGATGCAATTGCAATACATCCTTAAACATAAATTATAAATTATTGTAATTATACTGGGATATATTCTTAGACAAGAATGCAACCATGAAAGTTTGACATTCACAGAATCATAGAATATTTTGGGTTGGAAGGGACCTTAAAGATCATCTCCTTCCAAGCCACTGCCATGGGCAGGGACACCTCTCTCTCACCAGCCCAGGTTACTCCAAGCCCTGTCCGACCTGGCCTTGGGCACCTCCAGGGAGGGGACATCCACAGCTTCTCTGGGTGACCTGTTGGCAACATTGCTCGAGGACTGTTGATGGTGCTTTCTGAAATGCTGGACTCAAGACTGCTCCCAAAAACACTGGTTGCAAATAGTATGGACCCGTGGACAACACCAAGTCTAGGGTACATCTGAGTTTGAAAAACATTCTCTGGGACCTCTGTAATTCTTCTAGGATTGCTTTGGGGGCTTCCTTGCGCTCGGAAGAACGTGGGTTTTTCCACCATTTCTTAAACAGGGCTTCTCCAATGAGTCAGTAATAGGTAAACCCCTTCCTTCCCCCGTTCTGATCCCTCTACTGCTCACACATCATGAGCAGAAGTAAGAGCAAGCCTTCGCTCAACCGTGGCTGTCACTGCAGCAATGCAGACATATCCACCCTTCCAATTTTTTCAGCCGTAAGCTCTAGCCCCATGAAACAATAACCCCGCTGGTTCTACAGTCACGGAATCCATCGAAGAATGAGACAGCCCTGACTCTTACAGGCATATTTAATCTGACCTGGCAGAGCAGCAGCCTCACCTTTACAAGAATGTCCATCTTCTGCGAGCTGGAAGCCTTGCCTGCAGTAACACTGATAGGAGCCGTAAACGTTGGCGCACTCCTGGCTGCAGGGACTCGTATCACACTCATTCACATCTGGAGCCAAAAAACAAACCCACAGACACTGCCACAACACTTCAGAACAGTGTCTCCCACCATTTCTTGCCTCTGAGAGCAGCCACCAGATACCTCTGGTCTGAGTGAATAAGGGTGGACTAATGCATCCCAAGAATGTTTCTGCCCCCCAGGCCAAGAACTGTGACGATGTCTGTGGCACCTGGATTTCATCTCTACATGTGCCAATAAAAACACATCCACGTTCAAATACGTAGACCTTACGTGTTTCAGCTGATTAAAAATATGTAATCGTTGCCTTAAAAAGAATCATGGAGAAAACTTTCATTCAAATTGAACCACTTTTTTCAAATTTTGTCACTACCAGGTTCCATCTCTTTTAAAATTTGAGCAGAAAGTCTCCTATTCTAACTTTATAATGTTCTCCTTTTCTCTCACCCGGAAGGAAAGGAAAAAACATGTGAGAGAAAGGAAGAAAGAGGCAGAACTTTGACGGTTTGAGTGTTGGATTGCTTGTCTGCAAATCTGAGCGCACATAAATCATGCGTTTACTTATATCCCACCTCAACTCCTTCTCTAAAGCCTCTTAATTCACACTGCAATCTTTTCTTCATGGAAAAAAACCCCACATCTGGTACCTTCACAATGCTTTCCATCGTAAGACAAGCGGAAACCAGAAGAACAAGTGCAATGGTAGGAGCCAGGGGTGTTCTCACACGTGTGCTGACAGAGGCGTCCAGGGTAATTCCAGCACTCGTTTATATCTGCCAGCACAGCAAGCAAATATACAATCAACTTGGAAACAAAAGCATTAAGTTTGGTGCAGAAGGATATTTCTTAAAAGTGTCAGAGATTGATTTGCAGGGCACAAAATGCTGCAACCTCAGGTTTCATGCTGCAGCACTTTGCACGGTGGCACCAGAATGCAAAATGCTGTATCATAGTCTCTCATGAAGAAAGTTGTGAAACCTTCAGCAAGACAAATTTCTACAGCAGCAGCGTAACCCGTAGGGAAGTATTCTGCAGATGACTTGAACTGATAACCTGCAGCTACACCAAACCAAGGGCACCTGGCCCAAAATCACGGCACGGAGTGGCAGAGCTCGGAACGGCCGGTCGCACCCAACGCCGGCTGCGTTGGAGGCAGCTCCATTATCTTTCCGCACTGCAGAACTAAAAACCACACCCCACGACGGTGCTAAATACTGCCTTGTCGTCCAAGGCTCCATCAATCAGTCGTTTCAACTCGTCTCGTGCCTTACATACCGATGCAGCTTCGGCTGAAGGCATCGTACTGATACCCCATCTTGCAGTCGCAGCGGTAAGTCCCCGGAAGGTTATGACAAATCTGCCCCTCGCCACAACGGTGCACGCCCGTCTGACATTCATCCACGTCTGCAGAGCCAGAGAAAGCAACGAGTTTAAATGCCATTTGCTGAAAAATTAATGTTTTCAAAAAGAAAAAAAAAAAAATCATTAAATAACAGGAACAGAAAGGTTTTGGGTTATCCCCTGGACAGGACAAAGAATATCAGCTTTTCCCACCGACGTTCTCTGAGTCAGCTTTGTAAGTCAAACTTTTGAAAAGCAACGCGTTATCTGAAAAGTGGAAAACGGTCAACTGTAACTGCAGTGGAGCTCTCCCAGCATATTCTGCATTTCAATGTAAACACATTTTGATTCTGATCAAACCATGACATTTAAACACTCTATTCTGATGTTCTGCCATTACGTGAGTCACAGCAAGCCATTTAAAGCAAAACAAGAACGAGCCAGAAATCCTGCTCATCCTTCAATTAAAGCAATTGCTATTTTCATCTCCAGTTGCCCTTTCAATCTTGCTCCTGCTGTCTACTTTTTTTGCTCTTTCCCAATGTTGATCTTTTCTCAATCAACTTGCATTTTGGTATTCCTCACAGCCTCTCATCCAAAATCCAGTACCAACAAAGAAGTTGCTTCTCCACTCACATGCACCACTTCCAATCTCGGTTTATAACCCTCAGATGAAGACGAGAGTTTTCAATACATGCTGATTTACAAGACTTGCAATGCACCTAAATAGCTCATCAAGTATCTAACAAAACCCTACTGTCATCTGTGACGAGAAGCATCAAAAAGTGATTAACCCCCAGAAACCTGAATTCCTCCAAGAGTTCCGAGCTCGGCCATCTCCTAAGCCATCAGATCCTGCTTCCTTCCTGTTATTCACATCTTCAACTACTTTTACAACCCAAATCCCTGTTTGTGAAATATCGATTTGGGTGGTAGTCTCCGTTCTGCCCTATTTGAAGTGATAAAGTTGAGCACTTTTTCATCCCAAAGGGTTCCTGGGCAGTTCTCCAGCCTTGGACAGCGCTCCTGGAAGCGCTCGTGCTGAGAAAACGACAGGGGAAGCCAGAGCACGGACACCTGGACTTGGGAAAGTGGAGGTTATATGGGCCCCGATGAGACAAGCTAACAAATACAAACACTCAGATTGGGTATTTCAGCACAGATGCCCACCCACACTGTCCTTGGTGGAACCAGGGTTGGGGATGGCAGGGGATGCCCCTTGCCAAGCAAGGAATTCCTGACAGGCTCACAGGCTCCTGCCAAAACGCTGTCTCTTCATTTCCTTTTAAGATCAGGGGTAGCATCAAGACAAGGATGTTTCTAATGCAGATACAAATACGTAAAGTAGCCGCTTTGTTTGCAGTGAATTCGTGTGTGTGACCGTCTCGTTAGTTTGTCCAAAATTATACATCCCATTGTGTTCAGGCTTCAATTAGTGCCAGGCCATTATACCGTTGGAGGTGTGCTATATTTCATAACAGCTACAGCAGTGCTCGGTTAAATGCAAGAGGTAGCTTTTAACAACTCATTTACTAAATCAGAAAATATATGAACATTTTAAAGAGAGGTGAATCCTGGAAACTGAGAAGACGACCGTGCAAGTCCAGTTCTGCTGGAGACACATGTGCTGATGATGTATTTACTACTGTGAATAAATCTGAATCAGGAATCTAATTAGCTATTGTAATGCTTTAAAGAAACCAGTCTTTATCACAGAGAGGGGAAATGAGGACCACATGCTTTTCTTTCTTCTTTTCCATGCCCTCTGCCTACTTAAAGTCATATCAAAAAAAATTGCCAAAAGATATAGACTGCAAACAGAGCGCACAGGCAAAGACAGAGAAATCACCAGTTAACATTAAATATTCCCAAAAATCAAACTAGGGAAGCTTCGTTATACCTGCTCCTTAAAAGCATTGTTAGCCATGTGGAGACAAAGTGTCGTTACAATGCATTGTGTTAATTTATCACGCTTTAAAGAATGCAAATGCTGCATGGAGAATGGCAATTTCCACCTCGTTCACATATTGACACACAGTCACTCCCTTTTAGGAAGTCATGGGGAAAAAAATGCTTCCTCTAAATCATCATTTTAAAGTTCAGGGGTGCAATTTGCCCTGGCCATTAGCATGGCTCCAAAACAGAAACCACTAGCACTACAGCCAGGATTTCTGAGCTGCCCGGTGACGAGTCGTGAAAAAAAATGGCATTCATGGAGACACTGGCGTGGCGGCAACCCCAAAACCAAATTCAGGGTCACCGCACTTCAGGTGGTGCAAACGGACCTTCACGCAGCTGATCTAGCCCAGAACCGTGTCTTTACAGCAACGGAGAGAGGTGAGACTTCTGGACCTCGCCGTGGAAACTGCACTATTTCAGGCTGCTCTGTAATAGGTCACCAAACAAGGCTGCACTCCTTTGCCCTGAGTTTACAGAATATAGCTCCCCAGAGCTGTATCTATCAAGAAACTTTCTCAATTTCCTCAGTTACACCCCCCCCCGCTTCTGCTGCTTCCAAATCTTCCCCACCTCAGCATGCTTTGGATAGCCTGGGAGTGAAATCGTGACGGGAGAGGGAGCACAATGAAGAGCAAAAAGGAGAATGCAGGAATCTATGGGGAAACGGGGTGCACCGACGCCACTATTTTTCACTACGAGTTGCCAGTCATGACCAAGTTAACAGCTGCCAGCACAGCTTCCACCCACCTGAAGCAATTTTGCTTATTTTTCATCCTTCCTTTTATTCTCAGGGAATGTAAGTTGACTCATCAGGACACCATCACTAAGCAAAATGCTGATTTGTCATTTCTTTTTTCTTTTTCTTTTTTCCCCTTGCTGTCCTTCTGGCATTTCCTACTTCGTGTAACACAGAGCTAGGGAATTAAAGCACACGTGGCCAGCCTTGCCTTGGGCACCAAGGACCAAGCTTTCGATTCCTTCGTGCCCAGTGTGCTCCTTCACAAACGCTAACAGGAGATGAAAGCTGCTACTCCGAGTCAGTGAGGAACAAATACAAACCAGTATCAAGCTGCATGCCAGCCTATATGGATATTTAAACATTCTTTTCACAAAGAGAGTAAGAGTCCATCTGGAATGCCCAGACGACTGGGAGTAAATGGGGAACATCATCCAGAGCAGCTCTGAGAGGACACCTCATCAGACCGTAGGGCCTGACCTTACCGATGCACCGGGTTCCCTCCTCGTTGGAGTGGTCGTGTTCCTCTGGCAGGTGTAAGACCCGACGGTATTGATGCAGTTGAATCCTGGTTTGCATGGCTCAGGGAGAGACGTGCATTCATTAATATCTGGCAAAGAGAAAATGGATTAGGAGCAGCGAGAGAAGCTATGCAACCTGCCCAGTCTGTTTTCTTCCAGCTGCCAATTCTTTTTCTTAGTTTCAATTTAACGTGCTGCAGAGATAAGGCTGATGAAGGTCTGTGCCGGTAACACTTTCAAACTCTATATGCAAGTATGCACAGCTCAAAAAGGACAGCAATGTTCCGGTCAAATTCCCAGCAGAATTCGAGGAAAACCACATGTGGTCGATATACACCCCTTAGCCAGGTGAAGAGGAACGGGAGCTGGCCGGTGCCGCTGCACATATTACAAACATATTGCTGGTCACACTTACCAACGCAGTTTCCCTCTGGGTCTTGTAAAAATCCATCCATGCAGCGTTGCTTTGACTCGCAGTAGAACGATCCCTCTGTGTTCTGACAAACGAAGTTTACTTTACAGCTGTGAGTCCCTCTCTTGCATTCATCGATATCTGTTAAATCAGAGCCAAGCGTCAAGTTGCAACCAGTGAAGCTGCAATTTTCAGTCATCCTCACGACTAGTTAGCTTCTCAGTAAAGAAGGTAGGAAGCATTATTTAAACCACACACCCAACACTGCCTTTGTGTTTGCTCTGGATGCTCTCTTCAGTGTCAACTTCAGAACTTATCAGGTTCTGAAGCCAAGTCGATCCAGGTCCCTACTCCTTGTTCACAGCATCTCTCATAAACCACCAATACAGAAACACTGGCAGCTTTAAAATCCTAAACCCCTAAATTAAGACTAGGAATAAAGGATGCATCATCAAATGTGTATCACGCTTTTTCAAAAGCAAAATGGTCTCTTATTCCTTATGCACCTCAGGAATTCTAGGTAGAAACCTGCCTCCACTGCTTTCGGTGGCACCTAACCTGAACACAGCTGGGATTTCACTGCACGCACTGGCACGTCTGTGCACATATATATATGTATATAATATATATACATATATATATACACACTAATGCACACAGAACAGCACCACTCACCCAGAAGGTACCATTTTAATAAGTCTTCCTACCATATTTATAGAGTGAGACAAAGAAAAACATGGAGCTGAGTAGTTCAGAAACCTCTGCAAATCCAACAGTTATCTGTAGGCAGTTTTAAACAGAGTAGTTCTGAAATTTGAGAAATGTTCTTCCAAGTCATTCACTTTAAGCCTACTTCAAAACAATTTCCATGTTTTATAATCTGCTCTAAGCTCACTTTTAAGACTAGACAGTGATTTAGATCAGCAGTAAATATTAGAAATGCTATAGAATCAGACAACAGAACGAGACATTCACGAACAGCCTCTTGGAGTAAACCAGGGCTTACTTAGGAAGCTGTATATAAAGTGAGATTTCTGATCACTTATATGTTAAGAGTGAAGTCCCTTCCTTCGGTATCTCTCCCTCCAGCTGTCAGGAAACTCTGTGTAAAACATGTAGGAGTGAATAGCACTGACTTCTGCCCTGGGAGGCAGGGCACGCGTGTCTCTTGTAGAGCCCTGTGCTGCAGAGCAACCTCTGCCGTGCTATGACCAGTTGAGGTTAGCTCCTCCGTTAGACCGAGAAGGGGGGAGATGAAGAATAGCTTCTGAACCCCAGGAGCACTCCAAATGTAAATAAATGCAGGCAGACCTCCTAAACACAGGAAGGACGGGACTGTGTCAGCCCCGTGATCTGTTCAGGCTGTGATTCAGTGTTCGACTGCAACCACCACCAGCCCCAGCAGCGAAAAGCAGAGCCAGGCAGAAGGCTGTAACAGGAATTCCTCCGTCGGTGAGATCTCTCTCTAATGCCTTAAAAACAGGGTAAATCCTAATTCACACGGTTTCATCCATTTTCCAAATAATTCATAGTTATTGTTGGAACCTACTTCAAAAAACTGAATGTACAGGGGGGCCCGTGAAGCCAAACACTTCCATGATGATCAGCGTTTTCTAGTTACAACCCTAGTATCACAGACCAGCAACAATAAAACGCTTCGCAAATCCCTTTCTTCTCCTTTTCGCAACAGCAATTGCATCAGCTGAAAACCACTTGTCTTACCAGCACATTCTCCGTCCTTAAGCTCATAACCTGGCTGACAGCTCAGTTCCTGGAGACACTTGAACGATCCCACTGTGTTGACGCAGTGCTCTCCCCGCTGGCAGGTGTGCGTATCTGCCACGCACTCATTAATGTCTACAAGAAAGAGTTAAATAATTCACATATTTATCAAGTCATCTGCCTCCTCCTGCTCTTTTGGAAGGAGTCAAAAGCTCAAGTGAAACCATTTCTTCCAAAAGTTATTCAAAATAGACTTTGCTACAGCGTTCTGACAAAAGACGTGTTACTCCAGGATCTCTTGTTAACAGAGAGTAACTCGAGACACACAAATCAGAGGGAGATTTCCTTCTCCTTCCCTCTTCCCAAATGTGCAGACATCAAGGACAGGGGATGCACAGAACCAATTAAACGCAGGGTGGGCAAAGGACTGAGAATCAGCTTCTTGGTTGACTGGATAGAAACCTCCTGGACAATTGAATGAGAAAGCGATTAATGCTTATTGCTCATTATCAGGTTTTCACAGCCCAGGCTGTATATAAAGTCCCGCTGCTTCACGCCAGAGAGGCAGGAGCTGCTGGTGCGGAAGAGCTGCAGGAGAGAAGCACCGAAACTGCCAGCCTCGCCGCCCTGGAGTCATCGAAAGAGGAATCCCGAAGGCTCAGTCAAGTTTGTACATTTGTATTTCAACCTTTAAAGAGATCTGATTTCAGCAGGTGGAGTAGTGGAAAAGCTCTTTTTTTCCTTTTTTTTTTAAAAAAAAAAGAATCACTTCAATACAAGACGGTGGAATGTAGGGCAATTTGGGAAGTAATTCGCGACACCTTTGAAGCGATGCATTTGGATGGGCTTAGATGAAACAATCTCAAATTTAGGGTTTGCTTATGTGAATAATGAAATGCCACGATGAGCAAATACTTACAAGCAGCAAAAAGGGCTAGGAATGGGAAGACAAACTTTCTTGCCATTCTCCACAAAATCTTAACACGTTCACAGTTCTATATAAAGCTAAGAAGTATTTCAAGAGCTAACAAAAGCCAAATGTGACCGTAATCATTACCAATCGCCCAGCTTCTCTGCACATGATGCTATTTTCATATTATACAATAAAGCAAGTACTGTTTAAATCAGATTTTCGTTTTGGGTCTACAACCTCATTCCCAGCTAAGTACAACATCAGATATAGTACTTGCGGGGCATGGAAACAGGACAAGTCATTCTAAAAGCCTTTTGTCTTAGAAAACACGTCAGCTTGTTTTCCGACAACCAGATGGAGATGAGCACCAAAAGAAATCTCCGGTCCTGCCGAAGTCAGCGAACTGGGGATATGCACCGAGTTTCCCAACACCAGTAGGGCAGCTTGGTACCATTTCACTTCTCATTTAGTCGTGTTTTCCTTTTCGTTTGCCATAGCTACTCCTCACAAGCCGCGTATGTTGCTTTCCAAAGCCAGTCGGTTAATCCACAGCAGGTTAATCGCAGTTGGAGATGTCTGTGGACTCGCACTGTGTGGCAGGTTAATACCCTACTCCAAGGGTTTTCTGGGTTATGTCCTCCTAATGCTTGTACTGTTTCCCGGTTTCTCTACATTAGCTTCAAGTGTAAGCATCAATATTCTCATCTTGGGGGAAAAAAAATTAAAAAAGCACACGCATCCAACCCAAAAGCCCCCTCCCCGCGCTTGGGGAAGAATATGAGCTGCTGTGGTAGACTTATCCCACCTAACTAGCCTTAGTCCTGGAATAAACTTAAGGATCTTTTAAAAAATTGCAGAGAAGAATGGCTATGGATAGCCATTTAGTATCAAAATTAGTGTAAGGCTTTCTACTGATTTACGAGGCTATGCAACAGATCCGAGATTATCTTTCCTTGCAGACCACCAGAACCTTCTCCTACAAATAGGCTGTCAGCACCACACTCCGTCATATGAACTGAACTCAGGTCAGAACAACACCAAGAGAGGAAAGCATGTTGGTCTGAAACACCTCCCCAAATACAGCATAGGAAGTGTTCCACCCGATTAGCAGGTGTCAACAGGTAAAAGGAAGGTTAAGATTTCACAGAGGAAAACAAGATGTCAAATAGTTTTGTTTTTTTTTTTGGTCTCTGTTTTTTGACTCAATTTTCAAACTTTCGAGCACTCAAGAAAATGAGCAGAGCTGGCCAGAATGCATTTGAGGAAATTAAACCCGTGGAAGCTGGAAGATTACATGAAGAATTTTTGCTTTCAGTGGCAGTTTTGTGCACCAAGGGATACACTGACAATCCCTAAAGCCTAATGATTGTCACCTGGGCTGAGATGCAAGGCTCAAACTATGAGCCATGCAGCAGGCAAGGCTCTGCTCTGTCCTGTCCAACGTTAGGGCATGAACCTCCGTTTCTGATACCAGACCAGGTTATCCAAAGTTTCAGCCTACCAAAGTTCCCTTTTCATTTTATTAAACAGATATGCAGCCTAAAGTCTTCCAAAATAATTCCTAAATGGTCACGCCACAAAACAAGATCTAAGAAGGCTTCTGGAATCTTTCTCACGAGTTCCCCTCAGTCCACCATCAATCCCCATCGCAAACCAGTGTCCCTTAGCATGAGCAGCTTTGGGAACAAAGTCCCAGTTTGTGGTGGGGCAGCAAAAGAGCGATGGCGCTGGTTCTTTTCAGCCCAGGCTGCCCCCAGAATCATTTTGCTCTGCCATCACGGCACGAGGTCAGCAGAGGTCAGCGTGGACTGAATCGGTTTTTATAAAACAGGACAACCTCTCCTTTCTTTGATACAGAAGATAAGAGGGTCCATAGCCTCTCTCTCTTCAGTACTGGAAACCAGCTCAGGAAGTCGGTAGGATGCTTGACAGAGGAGCAGGAAAAATATTACTTATATTTTCAGTTACAAACTTAATGGCTCTCTTCTTTCTCATTTAACTCCAAGGGAGGATTAGATTAGATATTAGGAAAAATTTCTTCACCGAAAAGGGCTGTCAAGCCCTGGCACAGGCTGCCCAGGGCAGGGGTTTAAAAGCCGGGTCGATGTGGTGCTCAGGGACACCTGTCAGTGGTGGGGCTGGCACTGCTGGGTTAATGGTTGGACTCAAAGGTCTTTTCCAACCTAAACAATTCTATGATACTATTTCCCAACATTGGACTGGCTGCAGTCTTCATCCAGGTGAAGGTGAGGAAGGGTAAGATTATACTTATAAATAACTAGGAATAAAAGAGAATATAATTCAGTAATATATTAAAAACAAGTCATACAGTTAATTGTGGAGAAATCTATTAGGTCTATGTGGGCAGCAACAGCATTCCTCACTCTAGGTCAAGCGAAAACCAGAAGGAAATGCTATTGCGTAATATCGCTTTTTTATCCTTGGAATTGTTGAAAACAGCAACATATGCACCATCCCTGAGCGTGCCTGTTGCATCTCAGGAGCTGACATTTTTGCAAAGGAATATCAACATTAGCCTACTGCTATTTTTCTCAATACATACTTCAACATTAAAACTTAATTTTTTTTGGCACTTTTTATAAAAACGTGAAATGCAGACTCTTTTCTCCCTGCATGTATATTTTCTCAAGATGTTCCCCCCTCCATCTCCCCACCTCGTCTTCAAATTACTTCAGCTCAATTTCTTTTACGTAATACATCTGTTTTATTTAAACCTGTCACGATTTTGCAGCCACCCACCCTGCGTTCACGCGCGGTCCCTGTGGCTCAGCAATAAAATGACCCTTCGCTCACTCGGGCAGGGGCGGAGCTGTAGATGGGAGCAGCAAAAAGAAAGGAGCAAAGTAGTCTCCTGTCAGTGTGCACGTGGGTGGTGGTAATGACTTTGCCTGCAAGCCACCGGGAAAAGAAATCCATGTTAAAAACACCCCAACCTGGCCCTTATCTCTGGAGAACATAGAGTCATAGAGTCATAGAATGGCCTAGTCTGGAAGGGACCTTAGAGATCATTTAATCCAACCTCCCTGTCACCAGGGACACCACCTCTCGACTAGATCAGGCAACACGTGGGGACTGAAAGGGAATCGAACCCACAGCCTTGGCGTCGTTACCGCCACGCTCAAGTGACTGAGCTAACTGGCCCCCTTGCAAGTCTGAAAGACGTTTTAATATCTATTAAGGCAAAACTGGTGTGTACAAACTAGTTAAACAGCTGGCGACTCCTCACTGCGTGTGGCTGGCTTTGGGGCATTCGGCTGCTCGTGAATGCACCTGAAGTTCTAATCTTCTGCAGCTCGACTACAGGAAATTCAGCAGAGAAAAGGTTAACAGGCTGGTTCGTTGCTGAGCCAAGATCGTTCCTCCAGCCTCTGAAACAGGCAAAATCATTAGAAAAAGAATAATTTGCAAATGAGTTACTGCAAGTTTGTGTTTGAGGTAGCTCAGGGTGACGAAGGATACCTTGGGCGAATGTAGCTGCAGTGAGGCAGCTCAACAAAACAGAAACCACAGTACACTTGTGGCTTCTCCCCGCGGACGAGAGAGGCAGGAAAAATGTTCAATGCAGCAAATGTTCTCCAGAGAGCAGAGCTGCAGAGGAGACAGGAGCACACAGGGTTTGTCTATCCTAACAAAAGAGTAACTTCAAAGTTTTCTAGATTGCTTATAAGGATTTCTGTAAAAACCTGACTCGTGTTAGAGAAATAGAGAGGCTTCTTATTTAGCGCGGGAGGAGAGGATCTTTTAGCTTTACAAATAAGAGTTGTATCTTCCGTTTTATTAGTGATGCCTGAGGTTTATCTTCTATCAAGCACAATAAAACTCCGTTATAATGTGATGGGGTAGAGGACAGGAGGGGAAGGAAGTGAATAAAAGGAAGCACTTGGCATCTTCTATAGCGCCTTCTGCCAAAGTTGCTGACAAACACACATTGATTTAGTTTAAAACGCTCTTGGGAGACGTAGAAAAGGACAGATATATCCTTACTGCATAGTCAGGAAAAACATCAGGGTTTTAAATGGCAAGATTTCCAGCAGCAGAAAGCAAGGTGAGGCAGTTCCTTGAGCTGCCCGCTTACCAGACCTTCTGTTCAGAAGTGGGGCACCCCCAGCAGGGTCTGTGAAAGCCAAGGGGTGCGCCAGGACTGGGGCCAACTACAGACACCGCCTTCCATCTCACAGCCCGGTCCGGTCTCTGCAAAGGCATCCTTCCTTCCCATGGTGTTCTCCCAGGTATTTAATCCAACCTAAACTATATTTCTACTTCTCCATGCTTACCGGTAGTTCTGATTTCAAAATAAACAATTTATAAAAAAAATACAGTCCAATTTTTTCAACTTAAGGAAAACCCAGAAGATGGTAAATCACATTTCTGCTCTCAGCTATGTCACAGTATAAACTTTCCTGCTTGTGCCCTTGTGCCCTACGATGCTCATTAATAAGATGAGATCATAGAGCTTTAAAAGATAGGAATGAAACCAAAACTGTGAAGGTCAGAAAAGCGTTGTAGCTGCAGGGAGAAAGAGAGGGGTGGAAGAAGGCGAATTATATTACGTTATAGTCACAGGCACCACTGCTTTCATTAACGACTGGAGGTCACCAGGTTCTCCATTTTACTAGCCTCTAGAAAAGTACCCCAAAGAGAAACTATTTCCTAAGCTCAGGCCTTGGCTTTTGGAAGCAAATTAAATCCTCATAAATACACTTGCAAAAATAGGTTGGTTTCTTGCATGAACTGAAATAGCGGGGATGATACAGCAGAATTACGATGCATCTTTGACTTTCACACAAAGGAATTTGCGCCAGAATCAACAGAGGCCTAATCTGAATTTTAAAATTCCCTCTCTTTGGAATGGATCTTTCCCACCGCCTGGACTTCAGCAGATTTCTTGAGCTGTGTATGTGAAGGTTTTGTCGGTTTGGGATGTCTGGGGGTTTGGCAATATTGACACCGGGCAGAGAGATCAACTGCTAGGTTTTCCTAGTCCAGTTCAATAATCATCAGTACCACTGTGGTCATCATACCTATGAACTTTTACGACTTTTGAGCCAAGTTATACGTATCCTGAGAATGTACTGCTGGGGAGAAAGCCAAACAGCGTACAGCTCATGATGTTAAGTGGCTGAGCAAATGGTGCACATGTGTTTTTACTAACTCATATAGAAATGCCATATGCAAAGATGGCCCGAGAGCCTTTTAGCACAAATGGTTTAAATGCATTGCAGAGCATGAAGAATTACGATGTTGTGGTGAATGGCTTATTCCTATCATCTTACCAACACATTTTCTATGCCTGTTGAGTATAAAGCCCTCTGCACAGATCACTCTGTGGTTGACACAGTAGAATGATCCCAATGCGTTCACACATAATTGTCCTCTGGAACAAGCGTGAGCGCCTGTGAGGCACTCATCCAAATCTGTATCGACATGTTGCAACCAAAAGGGAAAAACAGAATTCTATTAGAACAATTTCTGAAAGGAAACAACACTTCTTTCACGCTGGAGATGTCTAAACGAAGTGTGCTGGAGCTACCACATCAGCAACTACTACAATATATATACAGTGTTAGGCTGAAAACAGGGCTGGAGTTAACCCTCGGAGATCATCTAATCCCAACTCTTGGGTCATTCTAGAAAAATCCATTCTTACAAACAAGCCGTCACCAGAGGCGACATATACACTTGGCAGGAAACCCAATCCAGTGCACCATCACGCTCATCACCAAACGCTTACTTTAACACAGATTATAAAAGTCCTTTGCTTCCAGTTAAACTCACTGCTTCCACTGACATTTCTGAATTTTTTCATCTCCTGTAGAGAAACGATTGCCTTGGAATAACCCCTTTTA